CTAAAATGTAAGACCCTCCAATATTACACTGTTCACACAATGATATGTTTGTAAAAAAAAATCTTGGGGAGTGGGGAGATCAGTGACCAGTGATGAGGAGAAGGCATGCCTGCAGCATCCAAGAGCAGGGTAGATCCCCATTCCTAAACTTTCCTAGGTACAAGGAGCCATAGTCAAACCTCATGGCAAATAAGTAAAGCAAGAATGTAAGCTTAAAGGTTGTCTCCTTGGGAAAAGATTGGCCAAAGGCAACATTATCCATTTGTCTCTTTTAAGTCCATTTGCTGAAGCATCACTGATCCGCGTTTAATGGTTGCCTAAAAGAGTGCTTAGGTAGCCACAACATATTGTGGAATATCCAAACCCAGTCATTTTTTCTCCTCCAAAACAAGAATTGGAAAGAATGGCATTGAAAAAGCAATTTAGGTATGAAATAACTCATTGACACAGCTAGGTGGCATTGATTCATGATAGCAGCAAAACCAACTACTGGTATATTGTAGCCCACTGGTCAATGGTAAAAGGCTAATGAGCTGAGAATGTTGCATTCAAAAGTCAGGGAAGCAAAATATGTTTTGCTAACAAGAAACTATCTCACTCCTTTCATTTGAAAGAAGCTTTTCAAAAGCTTCTGCCAACCAAAACCTAGGTAGCATTGTTAATAAACACTCAACACACCTTTATCTTGAAATATCTCCAGTGTTACCAGGGTGTTTGCTTGAATAACCTGATCTGGGCATGATTCATGTTTAATACATGGATTCGGTCCAGTTAGAACCTGGCATATCCATGGCAATACATTAGGATATTTTTTGCAGGATATAGAATATTGCGACACTCAGTCCTTGTAATAATAAGGTCTTTGGATTTTGAATATGTAGAGTGTGTGTGTTCATTGATTTGGCACAAAGTATTAGCTGAAAAACAAACTTGCTGGGTAGATAAAAGGAAATCCATGGGCAATTTAAATCAGTTTTGCGTATGAGGACTTTGGTCTGAGATTAAGATTCTACTGGAAAATATTAGGGTTATCTATGATAATATATACAGAGGAATTATTGAGTCTGTCAACTGCACTTCCATAACTGTCTGGTTTGGCTCTGCAATCAAACAAGATAGACACAGACTTCAATGGATAATGAGAACTGTAGAAAAAACAATTGCTACCAATCTGTCTTCCATCGAAGACCTGTATACTGCACGAGTCAAAAGGAGGGCCATGAAAATAAATATAAACCCCTCACATCCTGGACATAAATTGTTTCAGCTTCTACCCTCAAAACAACACTATAGTGTTGTAGAAAACCAGGAGATTTGGACTGCGGGATCAAGAAATAGCTTTATTTGGCCAAATGGTTCAGATAGAGATAACAATTTCTAACATCTGAACAGCATTCTAATCCAAACACACATTTTTATATTGTCAAAAATACAGAAATATTTTAAAGCATTCTTATTGGCTAAATTCCTTAATTCTAAGCAGAAAAGCATACAGGAAACACTAGCTTCATTCTGACATATGTGGTTAAGTTTTGACTTGTAATAAATTTATATGCCACCCAATCCTGTAGGACTCCTACAGGATGGGCGGCATATACTGATCTACTAAGAGCCGAGGTGGCGCAGTGGTTAGGGTGCAGTACTGCAGGCCACTTCAGCTGACTGTTATCTGCAGTTCAGCGATTCAAATCTCACTGGCTCAAGGTTGACTCAGCTTTCCATCCTTCCGAGGTGG